CCTTAAACTCTTCATAAGCTGAAATGCAGTTTGTGATTTTTAACTGAGTTCCCACCTTGAAACCCATCATCATCTTCTCTATTTGCATCCACATGTTGTGACCCAAAGCTTTGTGACTGTCAATGCTTGTATAAATGTCATTGGTCAGTGCTTGCATCATATATGATTTGCACAACATATCAACATGTGCTCTCTCTTTTTCTTCAGCAGTGTATCTGGATTTTTCTTTTATTATTCTCTGAGCAGGTCTGCCTTCATCAGGGATGGCAGGTGTTTCTCTCCAGAATACTGTTGATCCTTCCATGAGATATTCCATTATCAGCTCACCTTCTTTCATTCGTTCAATAAAGTTCAGAAATCTGTCTCTCCACTTGTTGTAATCTCCTCTAAACAGAACTGGTGGCTTGGTATCAGTACCAATAGCCATTGCTTCTCTTGAACTCATTTTATCTGATTAATATGATATCGGATCTTCTGTAGTTCAAAATTTGATTTAAAGGATTAGAATTCAAGAATTATCTCAATAAATCGCACACAGGAATTTGCACACATTTAAGACTTAGAAAAATTTAAGCACAAAGACTTATCTGGATTAGAAGTCCGGACAAGCTTATCCGGATTAGATATTCGGACAACAAAGTCAAATTTCTAATCAACTCAGGTTATCTGGATTAGATATCCGGACAATAAAGACAAGCAAGATCGCACAAATCACATATATCCGAATGAGAAATCTGATGAAATCAAACACTTAGTCAAATTTTGCACAATTAACAAAAATGAATTCGGACACAAAAAGTTAACAAGTCAAACTAGTAAGTCAACAAGTCAAACAAGATGAAATCCGCACAATTAATATCCGATCAAACAATCTGCTCAAATAACAAAAATTAAATCGCTTGACTATTAAAGTCAACAATCTACACAAATAGTCAAAGATAACAATCCGCTTAACAAGTCAAAGTCAAGGATCGTACGATTTTGGTCAAAGTCAAAATACGATTACAATATAAATCGCACACAATACAATATGACCAAGATTAAATCGCACAACATCAAGCAGACAATATCAAACGGATAGACTTAAATCGCACAATTAAATCGCACAGTTACAATCGATTATCACTTAATCGAACAACGTTTAAACGATTTAACCCTATATCGCTCACACCAACAAGCGATTTAAACCTATATCGCTCACAACTTTACACGGTTTATCACTAAATCGCACAATCACAATTCACACAAAATCATTCAAGTCTTTAATCGTACAAAGCACGAAGCGGTTTATACAAAATCGATCAAGAGTTATACGGATAAAATTCAACCACAAACACACTTCTAACACTTTTTCACCAAAAATTTGAATCAAAACATGAAAAAATTATGAATTTTGAAGAACATAAACTTTTTCATAAACTCAAAAATCACTCAAAATCGGTTCAAAACTTGATTAAAATCCAAAATGGTGTGAATCAAAGATGTTCAGACTGAAAATGCGAATCTAGTAGTGCAAATTTTAACAATTAACACTCAGAATTGATGAGATTAGAGCAAAAAATGTGCAATCCGATCAAGAACACTCAAGAACAGCGATGGACAGTTCTTAAAATCCACTAAATCCGTGCACAATTCCTCGAAAAATTTGTAATCCTTCTATCAAATTGTTGCAATCTGAGCTCTGATACCAATTGATAATCCCAAAATCATATACAATTAGATTAATCCGTCAAGAACACAATTGAGATGAGTAAAGAGAGATTTTAACCAATGATGAAAATAATATTTCTTGAGAGAGTTTTTACAAAATGATTAACAACAACTAATCTGAACTGATTACAATTAACTAGCTAAAACCTATTTATACTAGGAAATAAACAAAGACTAACTATTACAAAGACAATTACAATGGGAGAACTTGAATACAACAATTAAGTACATCCTAGAACCCAACAACACTCGACTCCAAACACTAAGTGTGAGATATGAACAAAATATCCGGATTTGATCTCCGGACACTTGAGACTTCACAAAAAATTCAATCAATATTCAAAGTACGATCAATGCATGAAGTCAACAAAAGTCAACACAAACAAGTCCAATCAACTAAAATTTGGTCACAGAGTAATACGGTCAAACTTCAACCCAGTCAACAATAAAAGTCATAGTCACAATTCGGTCAACAAAAAAGTCAAATTCACAATCCGGTCAAAATTCCAAACCTAAATCGGATGATGAAGTAATCGATTTATGTCTAATACGGATAAAGCTCACACGGATAATGACTAAATCGCACACAATTATGAACGGATTAAAGCTAAATGGCACAAATCAACAAATCAACCAACTTTACACTTAGACATAATCATAGATTAAAACCGGAGAAAGTACTATACTGATTCAATCAAATACGGTCACTATACTATCCGATTTATCTTCAAGCACAAACACAAATTTTAACAAATTTTCAAGCCAAAATGGATCAAAAACTCGAAAAAATATGAATTTTCATACGAACAAAAAAATTTCGTTTTATCAAAAATCTCGTCAAAACTTGATCAAATCGCAAAATTTTGTGAATAACAACTGTTGAGATCATCAAAACGTATACAGTAATCCAAATTTTAACACCTAAAACACAAAATTGAATGAGATTAGGGTAGAAAAATTGAATATTTTGTCCGATGAACTCAAGAACTCGATGAACAATATGCAAAAAATCCAGAATTTTGTGTGGAAATTTCTCGAAAAAAGTGTATAATCTTCAATCAAATCGCTGCAACAAGCTCTGATACCAATTGTGTGTCCCAAACAATCACTAAATCAGATAATCTTGAAGAACAATATGAACAATTAGAGAGAGAATTTTAATTTGAAGAACAATATGAACAATTAGAGAGAGAATTTTAACCCAAATGCTTTGTATTGAATTCTTGTAATGATTACAGTAATGACAAACTTAACACTAATTACAAGCCTAATTACCCTATTTATACTAGAAAGCATTAAAGCTACACAAATACAAAATTAGGTTAAATAAGCTTGAATACAACAATCAAGGTACAACTTTGAACCCAACACAACCTGAAACTTGTTTTCAAGTACGGACTCAACATGATCATAACACTATTTAACATACGTGTATATATAGCATTACCATTCTCTGTAAAAATTCACCCGTACTAATCTTCAGCTATGAAGTAGTCCTAATTAAACTTGGGTGTGTCTGAATATTTCATGAACATAATCGATTGTTTCTTGATAGCAATTATGCCAAAAGTAAATAGAAAGGAAGATATTGAGAAATAAAAAGGAAGAAGAGATGGAGAGATGAGGAGTTGCATAAAGTAAATCAATTGCAACAAACAATAAGGGGAACGTCTATCAAGAAGTTGAATAGTTTGGAGGTTAAACTTAAGTTAGATGCAAAATGACCAAAAAATCTCCTTTATTATGAAACATACAATTTGTCTATAAGGCAAAAAAGTCTTTAACTTAATTAGTATTTTAAAGACTCAAAAAAGGAGGAAAAAAATAAAATAAAAGAGCTCCTAACCTTTAGAAGAGGTCATGTCATACATAGTTGTTTTTCTTTTATATTGGGGGTATAATAGTAATTTTATGTTATTCAGACTGTTGATTCAGAACTATTTCCAAACAATCATTTTCTATCAGCCATTAAATCATACAAAGACTTTTAATCATTATGGCCACTTAATCATTATACACTAAATCATCCGGTATCTGTCAAACAACCCTAAAGTCTCAAACTCTGAAAATTAGGATCCAAATTCAGATTAGTGCATCCAGTCTTAGACTCAGCATTTGGTCCTAGGAACTCTAATACAATTGTGATTGTTCTTCAATCGTATCCATTAATGATTATAACCATTTAACCGCCTATAACCGTCCATCACTTATAAATACCCAAAAAGTGATCCGATGTATATATATATATATATATATATATATATATATATATATATATATATATATATAGA